CACATATGATGTTTGTCAATTTAAAAAGATAATTCTGAAAGTCAAAAACAGAAGAGTAACATTTAGTTTTATGTGAAAATCGCTCTATGAACTACATCTCCCGGGAAGCGAAACAACGAGTGAGAGGGCATATGGTTTTTTACCAGCGTGAGAGAGGCAGCAGAAATGTCTGTGAGCTTGCTTAACTGTGTGAATAAACCTCCTCAAACTCAATCTTGGTATGGAAATCACTTTGCTTTGGTACCTCTGAACCTGCGTAAAGCCTAACCATGACGTAGCCTCAAGTTTGTTAGTATTTGTTTTTGCTTAAGTTTATGGACAAATAGCCACTAAAGTACCGAAGCTGAATACTATGTTCGGAAATGACATTCTAAGGAGAAGTGACATGGTGTTGGACAGAAAAATGAGATTGGAGATGATCTTGCAATTATATAGTTGGTTATACTCTGTGTGTATGGAGCGGTGGCACCCTCGGGATTGTCCTTAATATCTTTAGGTGATAATAAGTGAAATCGGATGTACTGCATTGTAACCGACTACCCTAGCAAGGCTAGCTACTTTTCAGGAGAGAAATGTATGACTCATGAAGCCTATATCCAGCCTTTGCTTGGGGTGAACGTATTTAATTTGAGAAGTTGCAAAGATGGAAACGGTGACAATTTATGTTGGAAGGGAGTAAAGTCTGAGTTTAGGTTTTTAAAGGGACACTCCACCCATTTGCATTAAGCTTTCCATTGTTAGAAACCCAGTTATACTATTGAATGGTCGTGCAACACTCTCATAGCAGAGAGAAATCTGCTATTTACCTTTTTCACTTCGTCCTACAATGACGCAAAAACAGTCATTTTACATCATTGTAGGAGGAAGTGTAAGAGGGGGGATTTCTGTAAAGCCTATCCACAAGTTTCCGAGGGGCGCTCCTGTAAAAAATAAAGTGGGTGAAACTTCCGGTGAGGCGGCGGAAGTAGCATTCCAATGGTATTTTGTGTGTTAGTTAGCGAAGAGGCTAGCTGTTTTTCGGAGAATTATTTTACTATTTAAAGACGCAAATCTTTATGAGAGATGTCGTTATGGAGCTCAGGGACAACATGTGCTGTTCGCGGTTGTATGTATAACCGGACTAAACTAATTTAGTGGCTTAAACGGGATTGTTTTGAACATAAGCTGAAAACGAAATCACAGTGATCCTGCCAGAGCCCGTCTCTGATCCTGCCAACTACTGTAGTTTCCATCACCTCCCAAAAGACGACGAATCTTCCTGTGTACATTTGTTTAAATTCTTAATGTTCTATAAACTCTATCAGCATGTGATTGGCTGTTCGCTACTGATGTTACACCTAAACTCACGATCAAAGCCTCTGTTGACAGAATACCAAATGTGCCAGTAATGTATTCAAGTAGCACATTCATTTATAATTTTGAATAAACTCCAAAGCACAATGACTAAGTGTGTATTTTTTATTTTAATTGTTTGTCAGCTCGCACAACTGTCTGTCACCATGCCTTGATGAGTATTGATTATTAATAATGTTATTATAATACTCCCAATCAATGACTGCGTGCTGTTAAAGGTGCTGTTATTTCACCCTTTTGAATTTCGTTGAGGTTGTGTTCCCACATCGTTAGCTAGTTTGGATCGCTATAACTTGAATGACTGTCAGCTGTTGAATGAACGAGTGTCAAGCATGTCAAATCGCGCTTTGTTTACTTCCAACCGGAAGTCGCGCCCACTTTTGACGCAAGGCCTCATGGGGCGTAGGAAACTTGTGGATAAGCACTAGATCCCACCCTTTCAAACCCGCCCATAGGGGGTTGGGCCTAATGCGCTAACAGACCAATCATAGATCAGTGCCAGTGCATTTGATTTCACCGGCAGAAACGTTTTGAAAATATGGACGAAGGTACTGAATACACAGACGGATGCATTATAGAGGATTGGGATTACACAAAGTGTCGGCCATCTTGTTTTGGAAGCTAAGCTAGCAGGCTCTTGTTCTGTGGAGAAAGCTGAGTGGTACCTTTAGCAGTTACCATCCTCTTTTTCCCGGACATGTCCGGCCGTCGATGTCCGGGATTCAGCTTTTGCTTTCTGCAGTCGCCATTCATTGTTTACATGTACAGCTTTTGTTTCAATCTAACTGAATTCATTCTGATTGGTGAATCTGAATGTAGTGTTTACATGAACGCTAAACAAGTGATCGGTTCTGTTGCGAGTCATGATCACGTGAGCCGCCTTCAATCATTCACATAAATATTGCTTTTTACTTGACTTTCTTTATTTGCATTTGTGACCTTGGAATCCAAAAGTAATCAGATTACATTACTGATTACTGATACGTAGCCTATGTATATATACACAATTTTTTTTTTATTAATTAAATAAAAATTCTATATAGAACGAGGCAAAAGCCCCAAAACCCTTTTCAATGAACTAACCTGTACACGGCCGATGCTGGTCCCTGCTTACTGGAGGCAGGAAACACATGGTGTAGATAGTCGCTCAGTAACTTCTCATTGACAATACCTGAGAAAACACACATAATTAACACATCTTCTTCTTGTTTAATGTATTTACAGGGGGTAACCTCCTATAAAATGTTATTTTAGAGGGAAATACCTGTGACTTTGGGTTTGTCTGTGTCGGATGCCAGGCGATAGTTGCGTCGGGACAGGGCAGTGCCACCCTTTGTGCTCATTCTGCCTCTAGACAGATCACTGATCTGACAAACAAACACAGACCAATTACTGCATTCAAAAATTACCGCATTTCATAATATTTAAAATATATATACTACAGTACAGAAGAAGTACCAGTGACTTATCAGATAAGGTGCTACATGCTTAAATGCTACATTATATTTATATGACACTACTGTAGTATATGTCCAAATCAAAACACAGTAGTCAAAAAAATATGTATGGTACAGGCCTTCATTTTTGTTAGATGATTGTTAGACGATTGTTTATATTTTAGCAGAATCCGTGTTTGTTTATCTTTTTGTGTAATAACAACATAAATACAATGTAGAACAATGCAGTGTAAACTAGAAATCATTTTGACAACAGGCTTAAACTACATTTAAATACCCTGCAGGTTCAATGTTTTCATGCTGTTGTTTTAGCAAACACACACAAACATTTGCACAATGTAATCACTCTCTCCCCCTCTCTCTCTCTCCCCTCTCTCTCTCTTTAGCCACTATTTTGCTAACATAACGGCTTTATGGCATTAACAACATGTATATGTTTAAAAACAATATAAATATGATTTAAGGACTGTCGGGGATCTAAAATGCCCAACATATGTGCATCAAAAACAATATTTAATGTGTTTCAGGCTCCGTGTCGAACATTTGACAGCCAGAGCTGCTATGATAATACATAAAATATGATATACACATATATTACCGATATTACCGCTTATGGTTTCTTTAATTTCTTCAGCAGTAACTTACTCACTGACTTGGTGTGTTGTGTTTGTTAAAGATCAGCAGATTTTGTTATTAAACACTCCGCTTTAAATGTGTCTACAGTCGCTGCCTTTAACCGTAGAAATACAATAAGCAGAGCGGATGGCACTCAGAAGAGACGGATGATAAAGTGGGCGGAGCTTGTGGCCCAAAACTTGTCTCTCATTGGTCAGATAAGAAAGGGTTTAAATAATTTTTTTTTTTTAATTTTATCTTTTCTCGTTAAGTTTTTAATTCATTGTCTATTAATATTTCAAAATGTCGTTATAAATATGTAAAAAAAAATGTGTATCTTTACTCAGTGCTGTTCTGGATGGACCAATAAGAGACATTTATAAATGTTTTCTTTATCATTTAGCGATTGCGTTGGTCGATTTGTATTTAGACGTCAAGTGTTGCTCTTTGAAATCAACAGATTAAAACTATACAATTTAGTAAACAAAATCCAGTATTTTGAGTATGATTGAATGTGGGAGTGGGCATTGTGAGCCATGTAGAGCCCCCTGCAGGAATTTAAACAGACTGTCTTTAGGTAAGCACGTAAATTGTGCCACCCAATTCCTTTAACACATAAGATTCACTTCTATAGAGCGCGTTTTAGGACAAAATACGTAGACACGAATGAAAGCGAATCATCAAATCCATAAGAAGACCACTGGGCGGCAAATGTTGTTGACTAATAACTTTTTGCCACCGTTTTATTCCGGCAGGGGACGCTTGAGCGCTAAAAAAAAAAAAAAAAAAACCGAATCCCTAAAAGTATTTGCGTTATCTGGAAATATTTGTGTGCTTTAAAAAACGTCGGGTTAAATCTAAAATCTACTATATAATCTACTATACTTAAATCTACTATTTGTCTGTATCTGACATAGGCTACCCGTGAAAATTTGTTCCACTCTGCCACTGATTAAATAACATTCCCAATAATCACAAAGGACTGTGATTGAGCCATCGTCAGCAGCGCTGAGAAAAGTAACAGATGTCACGTGACCATACCATGCCGCTCGCGCAACGTTTTGATCAGTTTTACACCTCAGGAATTACATTTTAAGATAATTACTTTAAAGAGTAGCGTATCTGACAAGTCAGCGACAATATACAAGCTGAGAACCGCTAACTAACTAATAAAGGTGCTGTCACATTATGGAAATGGAAACGTCTATTATCAACAGAGAGTAGTGATGAATAGCATAAAGTCACTTTCAACTCAAAAACTTAATGTGGCCAACTTGAACCCACTTAAAAACCTGCACTGTATCGCCCTCGTGCAAAACATACAGTTGAATTTGGTTTTACCCTCTGTCAAAATCACCAAAAGCCAGCCAGGGGCCCTTTTTCGTCCTTCAAGCGACCACACTTTGGCCCCAAATAGGCTGAAATCTTTTCAATAATCCAAAAACAGTTATTAGACTTTAGGTTTAGATTTGTATAGATTGCAATTAAGATCCACAGACAAAGTATGTACGTAAATGTGTTTTAAACTTATAATACTGCGATAATACTGCGTTTAACACAATTACACACAATCAGTAAGGAAAATACTTTAATTTATATATATAAATAACAAAGTAATTATTAGCAAAAATTCTCATATGAACTTTAACACAAAACTGAACTGAGAATATAAAACTGAGTGATATTGTAAAACCAAGCAACAGCAAATCCTCTCAGTTCTTGCCCGCCGTGAGGAAGGCTCTTCTCCTGCTCACTTCCTCCTCTCCGAATTTCAACTGAAGCTGCTCAAGTTCATACGAATCCGCCAACAGGAGGACCTCGTCGTCCAGATGATTCCAGAGCGGCCCGTGAATCTCCTGATCGTACCCATCGATCAGATACACCCGAGCGCGTGCAAGGTCACCGCTGGCTTTCAACAGCGCCTTGGTCACCTCAACCAGTTCTTTCTTACTGTCTCTCATCAAGCTCTTGACCTGCTCCTTGAGCCTGGTGAGGGTTTCCTCCGGCGTTCCTCCGGCCTGGCTGTGGTTTGGTTCCCGTGACTCGGAGTTTAGCATGATTGCGTGGGTGGTGAACGCTGTGGAACTGGGCCCGGGACGCTCCTCTTCCTCAGGTGCTGCTGATTCCTGTCGGGCTTCCTCGTGGTGCTCAGCTTGGCTCTCTGGTTCCCTGGCAAACATCGAAGGTGTCGCCGAACTTTCATGTGCGTCTGAGGGCTCGACGATCGGGGCTTCACATGGGTCTTCCCCTTCTTCACTTTCATCCATCTGTGCAAATACATTCAAGTCACTACACATTTATCCACTTAGCTGAAACACAATGGAAACCTCATTAACCCCTTAACGGTCACAGTCCCGGTACCGGGACGCCTAACTTTACTTCACTATATTTCTATTAAATCCTAATCTAATTATGACAAATTATATATCGTTGGAATGGTCTAAGACTTCTAAATAAATATTCTACCCCTGTTTTGTGTTAAAAAATTATGTAGGAAGAGTAATTGATGAATTTATGACAAGAGTGCACCTTTAAAAAAATCTGCATCGTAACAGGAGTTTTGACCTTTGTTACAAAAAGTCGATGAACCCACTATTAATCATTGAAACTTCTGTTTTTATGCTAAAAGTTCATAATAAAACATACAATCTAGTATTTTTCTATAAAAAATAAAAAATATAGTATGATATTATCCTCTAAAAATGATAATATTTATATTTATTATCCTCTAAAATATAATATTATTTTTTATCGCCTTTTTTATTATATCACATATTTTAGTAGTTATCATAAATTGGGTATCATTTGAAAGCTTATAAACTCAGAATTCATCGTGTGAAAATTGTTTTATAATTGAACGTTGCGTTACCATAGAAACGGTACTTATTTTATCAGGCTCCTCCCCTTTTGGGCGTCATTATATTTCATAATTTATGATCAAAACCTTTTCTAATCTTGACAAAACTGATATTGTCAGAAAGGTCAGAGTCTCAAGGTTCCAAATTTTGTGACAGAATTGATATTTGGACAGAAATGTATTAATTTGTTAAGGCATAATGTATACAACTAAATTCAATGGCACCCGGTGGCTATTTTTGGTACTACACCTAAATAAAATCTCATGGGATCTTCAATTTTTGTGATATCAACTTCAAATTTGGAACATAACTTGATAAGATTTATGGCTTTGATTTTATAGAAATTTTAGAGTAAAAATATTTTGTAAAATATATATTTTATATAAAATAAATATATAGTACAGTATATTTGATTTACTGTAAATTTAAACTTCCATAACTTTTTCATACTTTCATTTTTTGAGGTCTTTTCACTTCAGCAATATTCTGCTGAGTGTTTTCTTTAAAACAAGACCAAACTTGGGTATATTCCAAAGCATTCTTGAAATACAACCATTTAAGTTTGAATAGTGCATTTTAACCCCCATTCTCAAAAAGGGGGGTGACAGCTAAGGGGTTAAAACTTGTGAAGATCTTAGAAATTGTTGAAACCAATTCAAGTTGGTTTCTAAAAACTTTCATACTAGTTTCATGGGGTTTATACTGTTCAATCTTACCACATCTGAGTCCTCAAATTCTCTTGCAGCTTTTGCAAGAATCCCAAGTTTCTTAGAATCAGCTGTGGCGGTTTTGCTGGTTGTTTGTTTTGTTTTGTTGAGAGATGGTTGTTCACTTGATCCTAAAGTAAAGTGAAATGAAGAAGGTTTATGGACAAAGCTTGTTGAGGAACAACACAGTAAATAAATAAAATCACGTAATACCATCTGGAATGTCTTGTCCATCACGATCTTCCTCTAATCTAGGACTTTTGGATATTTCAGGCCCTGGAGTTTCTTGCTCTTGGACCGGGACACGGGATTCATCCTGCCGCTCATGTGGAGACTCGCTGGCCGCCTCTGGAGGAGAACTGGCTCTCTCGGGAGAAGGAGGAGGCCCTGAAGTTTCTTGCTCTTGGACCGGGACACAGGACTCGTCCTGCCGGTCATGTGTAGACTCGCTGGCCGCCTCTGGAGGAGAACTGGCTCTCTCGGGAGAAGGAGGAGGCCCTGGAGTTTCTTGCTCTTGGACCGGGACACGGGATTCATCCTGCCGCTCATGTAGAGACTCGCTGGCCGCCTCTGGAGGAGAACTGGCTCTCTCGGGAGAAGGAGGAGGGATGGTCCTAACAGTTGGACACTCTGTGGAGATTTGCGTTTCAGATGAATCCGACACAGCGTCGGACTTTCGTGAGGTGTCTGTATCAGCCTCTGGTTCTGAGGTCTGAGTTGCTGTCTTCTTCGATAAGGGGCTTTGAGTAAACAAAAGAGCTTTTCTTTTAGAGGGGCTTTTCTTCGGGCTTTTCTCCGTGAGCTTGTGCTGAAGGTGCTTTAGAAACCGATCCTTCATGGACTGCCAGCTGTGGCAGGTGACACTCCGCTTCTCCATTTCTTTCCAAACCAGGTTTCCTTTGGCTTCATGCAGCCGCTTTTCCATGAACTTCACAATAGCGGCGTCGTCTTCAGGCGAGTAACCCAGACGTCCGGTGCCCTGGTGACGGGCAGCCATCCTCGTCTGGACAGACGGTCCCACACTGATCACATAGTCGTCCCGGTCCAACTGCTGGTTCTGCTCTACACAATCTCGGATGAATTTCGAAGAGATGTATTTCTGCCCAGTGCTCGCCATCGCACTGGTCACGTCGCCCGGATCGACCAGCAAAATGGCTCCGGGCTCTTGATTCCGACACAGAATGCCTCCGCCATTAGATATCAGAGGGTAAAGCTGCGTTTTAGTCGGACCGGGTCTCACATAGAAGCGCATTGAATGTCCACTGGCTTCCAGGAATAAGACGGGAGATATTTCAGAGACCTTCTCCTCTCCTGGCTTTGACATTGTGAAGATTATCTGAGGATTCAATGTGAAAGTTAATTGTTTTCACATTAAAATGGTTTAAAAAAAAATAACCCTGTTAATTTGGCTTTTTAATAATAAAACGATAGATATCTTATTTATGTTTGTTATTTGAGGCGTATTGTAAACATGTATGTTTGATATATTGGTGGATAATTTGATGGTGGATAGTTCTGATTAAAAACTAGAAGCATTCAAATGTAACTTGGTTTTATATTTTTATACAAACACGTTTCTTCTTTTCATATGCAAACAGTTTTATCTTTTATGCCATTGAATTCAATCAACGCTGTTTTAAAAGCCCATATATCTTGAATGAAGTAAAACGTAATATTCATAACCATAACTTAGTGTAATCATAGTTTATTTACACTCGCAGATCTTCTACCATGAGTAATACCTGAAATACTTGAACGTCGCAGGCTTTCCCTGCTATTAAGCAACGAGCATCAATACATATAAAAGACTAGTATGAACCCACCACCTGTCAAAAGACCAAAACATTGATGTGAATGAAAATATAAACTAACCGTCTTTCGCGGTTACAGGAGTCCAGACAAACACAGAGCTGAGAGACACGGAGTGAAAAACATATTTCAAAATAAGAGTCACGGCTCCATCGCCCGCGATGAGAGACTCCTGCATGAGAGCGCGCGCAGAGACTTTAATTATGAAAAAAGACGGATAAGGAAATGTTCACTGGGTCTCAACGCGGGAAAACAATACAAGTGAAAGTAAAGGTGCTAAAAGTTAAACGACTTTTTTGTATCAAGCGAAATTGTAAACCCTAACAAAGAGATATTTTTTTGTTGTTGTTAGTTCCCAAACCATGTATTTGTTACTTAGTTGTTGTTATATATATATATATATATATATATAGGAAAAAGGCTGACAAAGGGCAAACACACACAGAGACACACGCACATGTTATTGTCTAATGAAGATTTGTTACACACATTTGTTCTGATATTATTTCAGTGACAGTAGTTTAGCTGTAATAATAATAATAATAATGCGACAAAGAGAAACTCATCTCACAGTTACTGGTTTATCAAACAGCTCAAAGAATTATGGACAAAATCTCTCTACAGTCTATTACCTAACACAAATTAACTTCAGACCGCATGGCGCCACCTGGTGGGATACTAGAACCAATACAATAAATAGGAAGACATTATTCAAACAATAGAGTTATGAGGGGGAAAAAAACATGAAAAAAGTTTTATATGTTGTTGATTTGATAGATTTGATAGCGGGTCGATTTATTGAATATAATTCATTCATTCAAGTTTGTGATAACATGTTCCTTTAGAGAATGTAATATTTTGTATAGAGAAATCCCTCTTTCATAAGAACAACTAGGCCTACAAAACACACGTACATATTGAAATGTATTTGTTAAGTTGCCTGAGTTGAAGATTGGCAAAGAATACATTGGGGACAAAAGGTAAATATTTTACGATGATGACTATTTTTTTTTTTCAATAGGCTAATGAAACATTTAGAAAACAAATACTGTAATTATATTAAAAGGGCAAATGTACCTAAAATGAAGAATATCCAGTTTAAAGTCATTAATAATGTTTATTATGTTGCTGAAATTTTACAAAATGAGAGATATAGGCTACGACTGGAGATATTTGTGTATATTTTCATATTATTGTTTGTATACTGATGTTGTTCAATAAAAATAAAAAATAAATATATATATATATATATATATATATAGATAGCATTTTAAATGACTTATGGGTTATTACGTCAGTGTAGTGGTAGTGAGAAAGGACTCGGTTTGAGTGACGCCTGCTCTCTACCAATAGCGTACAGACTCAGAATCCCATCGGCCCAATCAGGAACAAGTGGGCGTGACCAGAGGATTAATACGGAATCAAGCTGTGTTATTGAACTGGTTATCTTACATTAATATAATATTCCCAGAATAACGCAGTATTGTCGCAATGGTTTCGCACTCGCTGGCTTTGCCCATGATCTGCTTTACCACGCTGTGGGGTCTGGTCGGGATTGTCGCCCCGTTTTTTGTCCCGAAAGGACCAAACAGAGGGTGAGGAATGATGCTGGAACAGGCCGAACAGACATTCATCCATCCATCTTTAAACGCATCCAGTCGCTTCATTTAAATATCATTGCCGTGTTATTCCTTATTGCATTATTACATTGATTTTTGATTAAAGTGTTTTATAATTACAGGGTCATCATAACCAGTTTGGTGCTGACCGCCGTTTGCTGCTATTTATTGTGAGTATAATGTAAAATATTTGGAAAATACTGTCAAGTATATCCTTACATCATGGTAAAACAGACGTTTATTGATATTTGGTCATTTGATTCAAATATTACCCTTTTGCATGCATGATAATTCACTGTTTGGAGTGCATGTTTTGCTGTTTTTGGTGATGTTGTAACTAAAATGTATGAAATAATATACAGATTATTCTGAATTTTTAACATGGTATGCACTCATTGCAGTTGGTTAGTAGCAATACTAGCCCAAGCAAACCCTCTATTCGGGCCTCAGCTTAAAAATGAGACCATCTGGTACCTGCGGTACTTCTGGGAGTAGACGGAGGTAAACCTGCATGTCAGATCACTGTTGAAATCTGGATTTATGAGGATGATTGAGATTTGATTCGTTCTTATGCTCATGTCTTACAGGTGTCGTTTGGAAGATTCAGAATATTTATCTCAACTGGCTTTACTATTACAGTCAATAATCCCACGAAACAGTGGAGGATCTACTTCAAGGGAACAATCTTTGTGTTATGAAACAAGATTAAACAACAGTTACGATGTGTTACTTAACGTAATGAATCAAATATTTGGAAAATACTACTGAAATGATGTAAAAATAGGGATATTATTGTGATGTGTGAAGAATTATGAAGAAATCCATTTGTCTGAGAGTAATCTTGACTACTTTATGAATGGTTTTTGTTTAGTTAAGCATATGTTGAAGAATGTGTGACTTTAACCTGTTTTTATTATGTTGTCCTCACCTGCATGTATCCACTTTTACTTGTTAAAATTATTTTCGTCTTATGGTTTTTATTTATTTATTTTTTTTTGTATGTGAATGGCGTCCTATTGATGTTTTCTGTCATCAGGTGTAGAATTTGAAGCTGTGTTCATGAAAAACCAGGAAACTCTTAAGAAAATAAAGCGGAGCATTGAAGTGAAGCGACTGAAGTTCTGTGGTGTTGTTGTGATGGCATGACCTGCTCTATATGAAGTATGAATTGGACGATATTTGATTTATGAATACGCGTGAGGTCGCAGGTTTATCTCGGTGTTGTTGAGGAGTCATGTAGGGCGGAAGAAGTGTACAGATTTTTTTAAAATTCAAGGACAGTGTACAACAATAAGAATTGATTCAAAACTATTATGAATCATTTTAAAAAGGATCTGATGTTAATGCTTGACAAGCAAGAAATCAAGCAAAAAGACCTTGACAGCATGCGGTTCATGGGTTTTGTGACCTGTTTGGAAGAATTGAAAAGCGTTTTATATTCTGTCTATTCATACCATAGTAATAACTACAAACTTTGACTGTAAACTAATATTTAGGCTACAGTATATGTTAGCATTGATTACAGAATGAACCAGAAAGTTCGTGATCTGTTCTTTTTTTTTAGCCAGATTTTTTTTCTTTTTTTTTTAGCTTTACAAATCTATAGTCTTGATCATATTCATGAGTTATAGCTTTCATAAAGGGAAAAAAACTCAATTATCACATTAGCGACATTCGCAGGTCTTTTAAAAATATTTTAATAATGCTTAAGAATGGGTTTCAGCCTTTCGTTAAATATTTTTGCCATTTATTTTGCTATTTTTTTGAGTGTTCATTAAAGACTTACCAACCTCTGAGGTAAATCAGAATATCACAAACTTTCATATGAAGCAAAAAAAAAAAACGGAAAATATGTGCTTAACAACATATATATATATATATATATATATATATATATATATATATATATATATATATATATATATATATATATATATATAGTTTATTCGTGTGGAGTTTATTTGAACTCGATTATGACATTAGCGTCAGAGAGTGGGCGGGGTCAACGCAGAGCTCCGATTCTGTGATTGGTCTATATTTCTCTGCAGGCTCATGGGTAGTGTGGTTTTAAACTAATGGTAAACATAGTTTAAAAAAATGAAATAAAGTGAACTGACTGCTTAAACTGAAGTACATATCATCAATAAACAATCTCGGAGCTCATGGTACATCTGTTACAGACTTTATAACTTGTCGTTCAAAGTTAAGTCCCCTTTGGAGAAAATGAACGGGATATATAGGCTACTTCCGGAGGCTGACTGCGCTGAAAGGCAAGCGCTGTGTTGAAACTACCAAATTAATATTATTTACAATAAGCGACAGGACGTTTTAAGAATGTTCCCAGGCAACTTCAGAACAACCTCCCCATTAATATTCAAAAGCTAAACCTGCGCTACTGGGGTGTTTACATTTGCATACGGACTTTTTTTCAGTCAATGACGTCACGTGAAGAGCCATTCCTGCTTATGCAGAAGAAAGTGAACACAACACTCACTGGAGCTCATGACAACACAAGCAGCTCTGTTTATCTCCTTCAGATACAATAATAATACACATCAGTAATAACGAGACACATTGTGAAACTGTTTGACAAAGTTTGGATATCTGCAGCAACCAGGTAGGCTATGCAAAACTCAGCAGCATTTTAAATGCTTTATTTTATTTATGCAATATGTTGCCTATATTTTAAGACTGTCTGCCTCGCGAATACATGCTATGTTTATGATGAGTTTTTTCTAGTGACTTTAGTTTTCCTAAATGTTTTCCTACATGGTCAGCATTTTGAGTTGACAAGTGTGTTGATTATTAACTGCTTGGTATAGAGTTCACCTTTTCCTTTAACCATCTATTATTATTCCTCTTTTTTACAATCAGATCCCAACCACTGGCATGTTTGCAATTCGCAGTTTCAATCTTCTGTGCAGAAGA